GGAATACAGTATAATAAATGAAATTAAGAAATTCGAATTGTTACAATTTATTTCTGAAATACGTACTCATGTATTTTGCGATTTATCATTTGCTATTGTTCGAAGTGTATCTATCAAAAGGGTATTCACACTTATCTGTAAATAAAATATCGCTGCGTGACAATGACAATGTTCAAAAGTTCTTCAAGTTCTCACCGGAAGAAAAAAGATTAACGTCGAACAGATTAGAGTAATCGGTCTACCTGCAAGGATAAACACGCATCGCAGTAGTATTGTGCGTAATGTGTACATATTAATCATCAAATCAAATAAAAACCCAGATCATTGATCGCGTTCGTAGAATCCTCGCCGCCGTCAATAATAATAATTAAACGTAGTCTTCTGTAAAGAACTGACCAATTTTATTTTATGAGTATATGTGTTATATCTCAAACAATTTCGAAGATAAATGATTAATACGCCTGCTGATTTGTACGTGCCGTTTGATAAGACCAGGTAGTCGTGTTAAATGATAACACAATTGAGAAAACGAATCAGTAACCGATTTAACGTTATAGAGGCAAGTTCGGTGTAATAATCGTAAGGCAAAGATGACCGACAGGAAGTCTTCCATCGACGAAATACAAGGTATCTGTAGAACACTTTGAAGACGAATTTTTCAAAAGAAAAAAGGAATTCTCTTTTGCAAAATTTAGAATTCTTTAAAATCAGTAGGAAGTATAACAATGCGAAACTGATGTCTACAATGAGGTCTCACGTAGTTTTATAATAGGAATTGAAATCTTCGTTGACTTAAAGTCGCCAGTCATCGCCACGTGTAACGTGTTATAACTTTCAGCTCGTAATTATTAAATAAAATTAATTGACGGACCGTAACACTGTATTTCATAGGACAACACGGGTCAACTCGTTTCATTCTTCATTTAGTTTTGTGACCATGACCCAATTCGAGGATCATAAATAACTATAGTGCCCTTTAAATAGTAATGACTGAGATAATACACGGATTGCTCTTATGCCGACGCGGTACGAATAAATAGCTGATACTTAAACTCTGTTGAATGAAGATTATTGTTAATAAACGACCAATTTGCTTCGAGAGCGATCATCTTTTCTTTAATTGAATTCATTATATCGCCGAGGTAATAATTAATTAATGCAACAAATAACGCTGATACTTAAACTTAAATATAATTAAACTTAAAAGTATGATTAAACTTAAATATTTAAACTTTGCTCAATTAAGATTGTTGTTAATAAACGAACAATTCGTTCCGAGAGCGATGATCTTTTCTGTAATTTAATTTATTTAATTCAATTAATTATATCGCCGACATAGTAATTAATGAATGCAGCAAATAACGAAAATCGCAATTGACAAGGGATATCTATCTGCCGTACTTACCGACATACTGAAAGGTCGGAAAGTAATTCTTGTAACGTGAAAGTCGACCTGTTGAACAAGCGACTTCGAAAGGAATTACGTCACGATTGTATCAGATTATTCAAATTAGCGCATAGAATGAAGAAAGTACGCGCGATAGAATAATCCGTTGTCAGGAATGTTGGTAAACGAAGAAAACCCTCGGAGCCTGGTTGTGATTGCAACTACACGTAAATTGATTACACTCATGAAGATTGGAATTCGGGATAAATGATTTGCGTCACATGAGCATTTATCAATCACCGTTCCTCATTGTATATAATTTTTCAGGTCATCCGGATAATGAGGACGACACCGAGCAGAATCAAAAGGTAAATATTAAGTTATATTGCTTATCAATATCGGAGTCATGATAAAATCTTAGTTTTCTAGCTAATACGTATCGATTAATTTCGTAATTAATTATTATTAGAAACAGTGTCACGAATTACACATAAAAGAATCGTCCTTCCGAATGAAATTATAAGTACTATCGTAATACCTAAACGCGTGTGGAACATATGTAGAAGCCGTAATTTATAGTCTAATAGCAGTTAATCATCTTTTATGTCGCATGACAACAGATACGATCGGTTTATGTGAACGAAGGCTGATCCCTTCAGTACAGTACTATTGATAATGTTTTAATTGTTAAACGTGATACATTCGATTTAATATTTCTCATCGCTTATTTTTATTACAAAGGACATCAGCAATTGAAGAACATACACTTCGATATTTAGTTAAAACTAATTTACAAAAATTAAATTAAGAAAATATGTTTTCTAATCATTTTGTGAATCATCATGTTACGTTTCATAATTTTTCTGATATTTTTAATTACTTTTACTCGAGGATGAGAATCTGAAGTAAATATAATCGATTTCTTCAGAATTTGAAATATTATTTATCTATTCTATGAAATCATTCATGATCATAGTAACATGCAAACTTGTTACATTGTGCCAACAGAACACTTTCACCGAGCTAATTGAACTTTGCAGATATGTGGAAGAATATTGAAAGATTATGTTTACTTACTAAGGAAAAAGAGGTCAACAAAAATAAGAATTTTCACTCCCACATATTTGCCCAATATTTCAAGATACGCCTCTGCAAAATAATCAGGTTTCGCTATATAATGTCATAGCGCCTTGAACGGAAATTGAGATCAGATTTCACTTTTTTTTGTACTGAAACTCTTATCTCGTATCCATTGAAATTTGTTTATCTAAGTATTGTATCTATTACAATTTACGAATTGATATTTATTATATTCTGAACGTATCTTTCGATAAAAAATGTATGATCATTCCTTATCGCAGATATCATTATCCATTAATCTCAATGATTAGACTGGCACTAATTGCAGACCAATTTCCTTTTGATCATTTTATTTTCTTTTTTAAACTGAAACAAAACATTCTATGGCTACACATTGTTACAAAATTGAACTTCGGATTAATAGAAATTACTCTTTAATCCTGTTACACATCTCCGTAAATTATCTTCATACTATCTCCTTAAATTCTTGTAATGAAGTGTGAAAAAATTTCGTATCAGGATATACACATTAGATAAAATGCCTTTACTAATTAATGTTCATTTATCAGCACGTGGAATTTTGTAATCAAATAGTGTACATCTGGACACAGAAAAATTGCGATAGCAAAAAATTACACGAAAACGTCACGTTTCTCTGTTTTCTATGTTGCTATGTCCTATTAAATTTTAATAATTAAAAGCAAATAGAGTAAAATCTAAGGTGTTGGACAAATGTTCGATGCAACTCCGTTAAGGCGTATTTATGTAGCTCGTGAGCCGTGTTTCTTTCGAGACTTTCACATTGTTCCAAATACGCGCGACAACGTCGTGGCTACCACTACCTATGTAGCAATGTCTATCAATGCCACCGTCGATCTGCTTATGTACGCTTATATACGACAAACTTGACAGTGCGGACTTAGCTATCAACCGCGACAGACGAACTCGTTCGAGAATTGTCGTACACGAAGTAATCTAGTTCCACAAGTTTTCTATATTATCGTGATCCTTGATCCATTCGTAATCGCCATGAACGAATAAGAAAATGTAGTGTCACTGTCGATACAGCGTTTTAATTGCCGTCGTCTATCATGGGACCAGCCGTGTGTAAAATTTAAACGAGTGATTTATCCGAATTTTCAAACAATTTTTGCAATTCACGTACTTAACGGCCAGAATGGTTGCGAAAACGCAAAAAAAGGTAGGATTCTTACCAGGATTTTCCTCCGTTTTTTATTTGATAAAATCTATAATTACCGTGAATTCCACACGAGAGATGTCATATCCGCGTTGACTCGGTGTCGATCGGTGGAAGATTGATCATTTAAAAACGACTGTTTGATAAAAGTATTATATGTTGATAAGTGGACATGTCGATTGCCGAATGATATATACTTTCCTCAGCTTTGTAATCTGTAATCGAGGCAGTTCGAAATTCACTTAAAAACAGCATTGATTAATATCATACAAATTATTGCTGTTTCTCAACTAATACAAAGTGTATTTCAACAAATAAGGTTTCACTAGATAGATTTTTCACTAGCTTCTGATCTACAATATTCACGTTACGTTAAAATATACTGTTCGTTTAAAGTGCAGTAGTTTGAATGTGCGGAAACGCACGTGTCAACTGATAATATAATAAGTATAGCTACAAAAAGATTCAGCCAGGTTTATACAGGGTGTTTCTGAAATGGTGATGTAAGTGAAAAGAGAGTAACGTCTATATGCAAAAACGAGTTCAATGAAAAGAATAACATCATTTCGAAACTTGAAACATCCTGTGTAATGTTTATCAGCTATATCTATTATGTACGTTGAAAAGATAATAATAAATATTATCAGAAGTCTCGTAATGCTTTATCAAAACGAGAATGCATTGTTGATTAAAAATTTGCGCTCTTTATATTTTTATCTTTTTATTTTCATCCTCAATCCACTTCAGCTGACATTCATGTGCGAAACATGCAATTAATCAAGCTCAAATTGGTAATATTCGCGTGACTAATTGTAAGTCCCGATTCATTAACCCTTTAAGCTATAACTACGTGTGAGACTCGTGGTCGGATATTAGGGCCAAAACTAATTATCACGAGCCTGGCCCGGGGTGTATTTTTCGGGTCAAATGTATACATCAGAAGCCTGTCCTGTGGCGTTTGAACTTAAATCGTAGCTTAAGGGGTTGAGAAAAAACCAGTTAGCTTCTTATCACCCTTAAGAAGTAACACAGCCATAAAAAAATAACACACGTCTCATTTATCTTCATTTCTTATTTTTCTGTATTGGTTTCCATAAAGAAAGTAATAGTAGTCTAGTAATTAGTGAAATCGTTTCACCAATTGTTTAAACGTGTTACTTCTAATTAGACTGTGAAATTCGTGCAATTATAAAGAAATTAAGTATGAAGAAATGATAAGCGACGTGTGTAATGTATAAGATAATTCAAAGACAAAGACACGCAATGTCTAAATGATTCAACAAATATTGATATCTTTTATCACACTATAAATGTTTTATTTCGCATAGAGATTCGCAGTCTACTAATAATTGCGCTGCATTCATATAAGGATTTATGTTGTCAATACTAATGTACAACGCTTATTCTAAACTACAATAGGTCTAATCTTATTTAAAACGAATTTCACGGTTCATTTACGTAACTTCAATTTAAAACACAGATTGAACTTTACAGTTTTTTAATTGCAATTAATGCAATCTCTTATCTTATATTACTCATCTCTTAGATTAGAAACGCAATATTGAACTTTATACTAACATTAAACAGTATCTGAAAATGCAACCGTGCGAAGTGACTTGCAACCTTCGTACTTTACAACAATGGAATTACACGCAAGTCAAATGGGTCAACTCGTGCATTCTTTTTCCGTTCTCGCATCTCTATAATATTCCACATAATTTTCCACATAAAAAATGTTTCACGAAGATAAATTAATCTTAATTCGAAAAGAGCAGCTCTAGACAATTCCCTGTGTAAAAAAGATATAAATATGTATGTCTAATACAAAGAAACAGCATTAGACAATAGTTTTTTAAAAAAGACTTAGATGTATGTATGTATGTATGTGTGATACACATATGATCTATATAACAACTTTGCAGCCTATGAAATATCCGAGGTCGATATTCTTCATCATCAGCAATGAATTCTGCGAGAGGTTTTCCTTTTATGGAATGCGCAGTACGTATCTTTTTCAATATAATTTACATTTTTTCTTATCTATGTATATTTAGCATGTGCAATAAAATAGCAAAGTTGTAGAGTCCATTTAAGGATGTATTGGCTATACAGTCAATCCCAAAAGTTTATGCACTTTAGAAATGCATTTTTTAAAAAGAAATCAGACGTCGGAAGAACATTGCTAATAATAAACAACAAANCTGTATAGTCAATACATCCTTAAGTACACGTTGTTTTAAACGAAGATATATTAATTATTGTATGAACCTCGTTGAATATTTGACATTAACTAATATGTTTATTTAGCGGTGTTAACGCTTTATCTGAAGGATTATCTTAAGAAGAATGATACTGATGCTATGGTCATCTACCACGTCTTCACGATGTTCGTCTACTTCTTTCCCATATTCGGAGCGATGATAGCCGATGCCGTGCTTGGAAAATTTCGGACCATACTCTACTTGAGTATTGTCTACGCTCTGGGACAAGTCCTCTTATCGCTAAGCGCAGTCCCTCCTTTAGGAATACCGTCTGAGTAAGACTTACAATTAGTGACCTCTTGCTCTTCTCAAATAGTCATAATGCTTTATGATTAATGTTTAATTATGATTATGTAATGGACAATTTTTTAGAGAATTTTCGTTTCTCGGCCTGATCCTGATAGCCCTCGGCACGGGTGGCATAAAACCTTGCGTGGCCGCATTCGGCGGTGACCAATTCGTGTTACCTCAACAGGAACGATACTTGTCCACATTCTTCTCCTTGTTTTACTTTTCCATTAACTCCGGATCCCTGATCTCGAGTTTCCTCACGCCCGTGCTTCGCAGCAACGTAGCTTGCTTCGGTGACAATTCCTGTTACTCGCTGGCCTTCTTCGTCCCGGCTGTACTTATGTCCGTGTCCATCAGTAAGTTTAAAGAAAATGAACGAAAATCATAACAATTTTGTACCTTCTTCAAACGCTTTTCAGTAATATTCATCTGCGGTAGACCACTGTATAAAATACTCAAACCGACGGGCAACGTCGTATTGGACGTTTCCAAATGCGTTTCTGTAAGTTATCACGTTTCGGTGTTAAATGAGTTATTTTCTCCAATATAGAATCTTATTATTGGCACAATTATGGTTTGAACAATTCCACGAGCAGCATCGACGTTTATCATTTTAGCACGCGATCTACAGGAGAGTAAAGACGAGTGAGAAAAGAGATCATTGGCTTGATCACGCGGATGATGAATACGATGGATCGCTGATAAATGATATCAAAGCTGCGTTGAAAGTCATGGTACTGTTCATACCCATACCGGTGTTCTGGGCGCTGTTCGATCAGCAGGGCTCGCGATGGACGATACAGGCGACTAGAATGAACGGCGAAATCGGCAGTTACATATTCCTACCGGATCAGATGCAAGTACTCAATCCATTGCTCGTGTTAATATTCATACCTCTATTCGAAGTTGCCATTTACCCGTTAATGGAGAAAATCGGGCTTCGCACACCGTTGAAGAAACTGACTATCGGAGGATTGTTGGCGGCTTTATCGTTCGTGATATCGGCGATTGTTGAACTTAATCTCGAGGTACGTGAAGGAATTTAAATAATTCGCATCGCGGATTGCTTATACGTTTGCAAAATTCTTACTCAGATTATAGTAATGCGTCTCTAATTACGGAGTCCAGAAAAAGAAACTTTTTTAGTATAGATATCGGAAAGTAATTGCTCTAAACATTGAAGATTCAATAATGATACAGTATTTTTAATTTGTTTATTTTAATTTCTATCACAGCCAACGTATCCAGTTTTGCCATCGGAAGGCCTCGCTCAGTTACGCGTTTTCAACACTCTCAATTGTCCTGTGAACGTGACCGTGCCCGATAATCTGACATTCATTGTAGATAATATGAAAATGTCCGAGTTCGACATTCCCGTGAAATACACGCAAGACTTAAACTACAAGATAGACTTTAGTAAATGTAAAGAAGCGGGTATATTAGAAATAGCTGAGAAAACAGGTATGGTAAAATTGCAAGTCGTTTAAATATATTTATGTTCGTATGATTAACTTAATAAAATTATTCGCTGGTTTGAATCTACGTTTTAGGAAGTATTCCGATACACGAAGCGCGAGCCAATTCTTGGGCGATCAATCCCGTCAGTGGATTTTTTGCTTACGAAGATTCGATAGATAAATCTAGCAATGGTGATCCTTTCATAAGAAGTCTTATCTACGTGGATCCTAAAGACACATCTGGAGTATTAGATTTGAGAAACGAAGACGGTAAATCGGTCCTTAAATGGGACATACAGCAGGAATTTAACGTAACTGATTTATCCGGCATCAAGCCAGGCATATACGATATTTATTTCAAAAATGAAAAAGTGAAATCCAATGTACGTCTGCAATTGGGCGGAGTTTACACAGTGGTTGGATCCTTGATAAATGGCAAACCAGGAGTTGATGTTGTTACCGTAACCGAACCGAATTCATTGCACATAATGTGGTTAATACCTCAGTACATTGTCATTACAATGGGCGAAGTGATGTTTTCTGTGACTGGCTTAGAATTCGCGTTCACGCAAGCACCGATCAGTATGAAGTCCCTCTTGCAAGCTACCTGGCTACTGACCGTAGCCTTCGGCAATCTCATCGTAGTTATCATCGCGGAGATATCGATTTTTAATCGACAGGTAAGTCCAAGAAAGAGATTAAATAATTTTCAAATTTATTGATGGAAATAATATCATTTGTTTGAAATAGTAGACATTATATTAAGACTCTGGTCTTTCGCAATGATCCGAGGTCAAACTTGCCGTGATTACTCAATCAGTTTTACGTCACATTTTTCCGCGAATCGTGCATTATTCAACGATCACATTAAACTTTTCGAAAAGTTATATTAATCAGCCTGTGCATCGTTAACAACGTTTCTTTTTTAATTCCCATAATATAGTTTTACGAAATCCTTTTGTTCGCCGGACTGATGTTCGTTGACATAATCATTTTTGCTGTAATGGCGAAATTCTACAAATACGTGGAAATTCCCGAAGAGAGTTCGATTTCCGAAGAAATCAATATGGAGCTGAAAGGTGGACAACTAAACGCGTCTTACAAGGACGATGAGAAGTGACCTAATTAGCTAACAACAAAAAATATTGCACTCGTATATCTCTCGCCTATTTTGCATAAAAAATACGGATTCGTGACATTTAGGACAATTATTTTATTTATATATAATATTTTTATATAAAATAAAATTGACGCGAAACTTATGCGCAATCACTTACGGACAGCGC